GGGGGGAGATTCTGTTAGATGAAATAACAAATGGGTGGGAATGAGAAAGAGAGTACAGATTGGGCTATTTGGAGACCCAAGGATGAATACAAATGGTGATTGGGAGAATTTGCTTAGGAGATGGTTTGTTTGTCTCGGATATAAGCATAAACCTATTAATATATACATATGGCAAAGGAATGGATATAAATCTAAAAGCATGATTGATTTGATTGTTTATGATGAAAGACTGAGGGAACTGGGGAAGAAAGAACCAGGGGCAACAAGAGATTCTGAATGTGGAGTATACCATTTTGTTAAAGTTGCAAGATTGGATCTTGGGAAAAGTTTTTTTTAAAAAAAGAATGAATGAAACTGGAGTGAAAGCAGAGCTATTGCAAAAGGAGAGAGTCTTGAATGAAAAGCATCAAAAGATAGATTAATCTCTCAACATAATGAATACAAAGTAAACATAAAGAAGATGTAGCAGCTGCTTGGAACAGAATGCTCTAGAAGTGCGCAGGGTTACACTAAAGAGAAGAATGAAAAAGAATGTTTGGTGGAATGAAGTGAAAGAGGATGTGGATACGAAAAAATGCCTATAAGAGAACAAATGCTGCAAATAATGAATAAAATATTTTTTAGTGTGTATAGAGAGAACAAGATCATTACAAAAAACTAAAAGAGAGCAAGGAATGGTTAAAATTAAGAGGCAGAGAAAAGGCAGAGCAATTTGATGGAAATAAAAAATGCTTTGGAAGTGGCTAAAGAGAGCTAAACAAGGAATCTTAAACAAGGTGAATGGAATTAAAATAAAAGTGATGAAATTGGGATGAAACTGAAGTTTCTGAAGTTTCAACTGAAGCAGAAAGGAGTCTTTTGGAGATTTATATAAAGATGGTAATGAAATGTCAAAGGATGGAATTGAAACAAATGCTATAAATGCTAATATTTGGGGGGGGGCATGAAAAGTAACTCATAAATGATGTGAAAATGTGGATATATGTAAGCCTGCAGATGTAGATAGTAATTTGTCAAATGCTAAAATACGGATATGGTTTGTTCAAGCAGTGGCTGTGTGACTTGGTTAACACGCGTGTGAGGGATGAATCTGTGCTTGATGATTGAAAGAATGTTGTCACTGTTGTCCTATTCGGAGGGGAAAGCCAAAGTGAATACAAAAACTACATGGGAATTAGGTTGTTACATGTGCTTGGGAAGACGTTTGGAAGGATTCTGATCAAAAGGGTATAAGAGGTGACAATGGGCAAAATTTGGGAAGTGCAGTATGTCTTTATGCTAAGCAGAGGGTGTGCAGACCAAATTTTTGCTCCTCAGTGGGTCACTAAAATGTTTGAATATGAGAAAGAAATTTTATTGTATGTTTGTTGGTTTAGAGAGAATTATGATAAAGTGAATGGGGATAAATTATGGAACATTGCCCAAATATGGAGTGAAGGTTGGTTGCGGAATACAATAAAAGCAATGGGAGCAAAATATGAACTTAGTACGAGAATGGAATACTATGTAAATAAATTAAAAAATACCAGGGAAAGTTGTGTGTTGTCCTTTGGCTTTTTAATGTATTTACAGTATGACAAATGTCAAAATGAATTATTGTAGTGAGGGTAGAGGTGTTTCGGGTGTGGACAGAAACATGCATGTACTTTTAGATGCATGCTTTTTCAGTGAGAATAATGGTTTGCAATGAATGTTACACAGACTGTATAATGTAACAAGGAGCATGGACTTACATATCAATGTATCAAGGACCAAGTAGTTGTATTTAACAGGGAAAATGGAGTGGACAACTGCAAGTCATGTTAAATGTCAAACAACCCTGAGTGAGATGGGCAGTGACTAAATTTGAAATGTAAATAAATAAATAAGTAAAGTAAAGTAAAGTAAAGTAAATAAATGAATCTGTGTACCTTGGTAGACTAAACATGGGAAAATGGATGGAAAAATGTTAAGATGTGCAAATGTAGAAAGACTGTGGATGGTATATGGTCTGTTCTGAGGAATGAATGTTTTTCTAAAGAAGTAAAAATGGCTTCTGCCCACTTTGTTACATGAGAACGAGAGTTGGATGTATCAGGAGAAATGTAAAAGGAAGTTGTATGCAATGGGAATGGGGTCCTTAAGAAATATGCATGGTAAAACAAGGATGGGTTAAGAATGAATGATGCTGAATGAATGTGGACTGAATGCAAGAGCAAGTGATTAATATTAAAGAAGTACATTCAGGTGGTTTGAGAGAATGAATAAGGATTGAATCATAAAACAAATATATGTTCATTCCGCAGCTGGAAAATTTTGCCACCCTACTCTGATCCCCCCTCTGATATTGTACTTCCTTTGAGGGAAAATGTATTTCCACTCTGCCATAAGAGTCAGCCAGCTGAAAATGTTGGAGTATTCAAAATAACCAATCTCCTTCTCTGTGATTTTGGTAGCCTTCTGTTAGAGCCGATGTCAAGACCTATGTTTGTTGTTGCCGCATCAGTTACCATGCCAAGCTTCCCAGCAACAAACTGGCTGGATGTTGTATCCATTCCCTCCTTGCAGAGGCCTTGGGATGTAGTTTCCTTGGATTTTATTACTCACCTACCACGTGCCAAGGGCCTGGATGCCATTCTGGTGGCAGCTGATCTTTTTCCACAATTCCTTCCCTCCTCTCCTGAAATAGCTGATCTGTTTATTCGACAAGTTTTTTGAAACCTTGAGTTGCATAATCATCTCATTTCTGATAGAGGTACAGAATTCATGGCATACTTTTGGAAAACCCTAGTTCAACTATTGGATATAAATCTCCAGCTGCTTTCTGTTCATCACCCACAGTTATAGAAGCATCCACAGGGAGGGGTCAGGGGGGAATTATTAAAGCAGCAACATGCCATTGTGACACAAGCTTATGCTTTATTATTATTATTATTATTATTATTATTATTATTATTTTATATGGCCACTGAACTCACTCATGGTGACTCTGGACAGCTTACAGGAATAAAAATCCCAAATACAAAACCCACTACACCCACCCCACCCTGCTGGTACAACAACACATTTACACTAGCCACTTGATGGGCTCCGGATCAACCTGGGACCCCCAGGCCCACTCGCAAAACCATCTCTTCAGGGCCTTGTGGAAGAGCATCAAGGTGGGAGCCAGTGTTATCTCTGCGGGGATGATGTTCCACAGGGAGGGAGCCACCACGGAGAAGGCCCTTCTTCTTGGTCCCACTAGATGGACCTCCTTA